ATTTGCATTTGACATTTGTCTGAACCCCGAAAAATGAATTATTACGGTTTAGGGCAGGAGATAAGGGGAAAAAGAGATGGTATATCGATAGATTTGGGAACCCTTTAAGATAATGAAATCATTTTTGGACTACGGAATACTTATGGAATATTTATGAATTGTTCACTTGTTATGGGCAAACTTCTATATGTACAATATATTGTAAAAGACGTATCTTTGTTCCTCCTCTCGTTTCCCTGCCTCTACTTTCACCCCAAAAATCTAATCCAATTCCGAAATATCCAGCCATTAAATTTAAATTATCCAACTAGCTAAATGAGCAATCTTTGTTATGGTTCGAAGAGCACAAATGCTGTAAATACTCTTACACCAGATCCCAAAATGAAGCCACAGGAAGTCCATCCACTTTCGAGCACTAAAAACTTTTACGCTCAGCCAATAAATTCATATAAAATTTAGAATGGAAATGAAAATGGGAAAGAGTGCAGAAATCTACGTAGAGTGTGTGTGTGTGTGTGTATGTATGGGGTCCAATCAAGCTGATCATCGATTGAGCATGCAAATTGAAAAGACCTTAAAATAGAATTGAAGCCAATGAAAGATTCGAATCGAACCGCATCGAATCCAAGTGCCAGAAGAGACTCACTTCCACTGGGACTGGGACTGGAGCATGGGGCATGGGGCATGGGCTCTGAGTGCATTTTGATTTTTGTTTTGTGTCTGTTTTTTTTTTTTTTGATTGGCGGGACACAAGGCGAGTCATAAATTGATGCCTTGTTGCTGCCTCAAACAATTAAAATGCGTTGGTGTGGCATAGTTAATTTTGTGGTGATTAAAATATGAGGCACAGAGAGAGAGAGAGGCCCATACCTAGAGGTGCATATGCTAAACAACTTTCCATGAAAAAGCCGTAAAATAAAGTAGAAACCTTCCATAAACGCCATAAAATATTACCAATCAAAACATAAATTCTGTCACAAGAATCCAATTGCTGAAACTGAAACTCAGCTGAAAATTAAATCAGCTGCCGCCCAAATTTATCACTAGACAATAAAAATATGAGCTAGGTTCAAGCTCAAGCCACGAAATGTTATTCAAAATATTTATGACACCCATTTGAGTGGCGATAACCCAGCCAAGGGAGCTCCGCCGAAATCGAGTTCGAAAATCCGAGAGCGGCGGCCGTTTGATTCCCCAAATTGAAGCTACATTTTTCATCTGAAAATTGTGTAAATATTTCAAGTTGAAACAAATAAAGTGTCGAAAATAAAATACATAAATCAAATATGGAAATGGCTGGGCAAAATGAACGAAATAACCGACTCGAAAGCGCAGTCATTAATTTGTGAAATAAATTAGCGATAATCTATGACATAGGGGGGACTAGGGTGCATTTTTAGTAGGTATTAAATATATATATTTAATAATCTTGAAGAGTGTTGGCCAGCTTCCCACACCGCTCCCAAAAAGAAAAAAAAAGTAATAATAATAAAAAGCGAAAAAAGTTTAACATTTCTGGCACCTGAGTACCCCTACTGTGTAGCCACAATTTCCATATTAATCAGCTTGAAACCATGATTTCATTTAAATGACGATTTATTGTAATAAAACCAATTTATTATAATTTTTGTTGGTGTTTAGGTTTTAACACAATTCCTACCGAAAGTGGGATATTACCATGCAAATGCCTGGCTTTTGCATACATATGTATGTATGTATGAATGTATGTTATGGATGAAAACATTTCGGATCCGTATACGAATTCCACCTGCTGTGCTGCTCCTAATGATGTCAGTTAGGAAATTAAATATTCCGATCATGCGGCGAGAGCCCAAAAGGAACACACATTTCAAACACTTTTGAGCACTTTTGAACTCCCTCCCCCTCCCCCTCGCCCTCACCCTCACCCCAACACAAATGGAAATATTTCGCATAGATTTATTGCCATACTCGTAATGATCCATGAATGATTTTTATGAACATTTCTGTGGCTTTCGGGGTCCGAGTTTTGGCTTTGGTTTTGGTTTCGGCTTTAGGCTTTTGGCTTTTGGCGAATTCAAAAATAACATGATATTTGGAGCGAGCTGTCTGCTATATTTGGTAGCAAATCAATTTACAACTTTTGGATTTCGTTCTTTATTTTTGATCAGACAGATTAATGAGCGGACACTGTCGCTGTCTCTTGTGTCATTTCATGCCTTTCAGTTGTCAAATTAAGGCCCATGCAATATGTGTTTATTATTTAAGTACTCGCATCGCATGGCATCGCATTGTACATTTTGTTAAACTGCAAATGTCGCCTTTCGTCTCTTAATGGCCTCCTCTTGACAGCTGCCGCACTACAATGGAAATTAGCCGTTGGATCTTATTTAAAGTGCAAATTGGTCTCTCTGTCTTATGAGCTTCAAATGTTCTCAAGTGCCTCCCTCCTCCTCCTCCTCCTCCTCCTCGAGTGCTGAATGAGGCAATCGTCTATAAAACAGCCATACAACATGTTGATGTGGCTGCCATTCCATATAAAGTTCGACACTTTCAATTATATTTCATGGATAGAATTCTCATTGTGGGTGTCTGCTTTTAAGAGTATTTCCTTTTACGCAGTAACAACCTCTACTAGTGATACTTCCCATACTCGTATGATTAGATCCCACCCCGAAGTCATACTTCAATAATAGTTGAGCACACGCAATGTATGTTGTTTCTGCAACTCTCGGGCATTCGCTTGTGCGTCTCGTGAGCAAGGACGTGCCCACCGCTGTTTGAAATGATTCAACAGATTTTCCCTGCTTTGTCGGAATGAGATCTATGATCTCTGCCTAAACGATGGGGCACTTCAAGCGTATCCGACTAAAAGAAAACTTTGCAAAACAATAGAACGGAAGCTTTACTTTGATTTCCGTTTGAAATGTAAAGCTAATTGACATTTTCCTTTGGAGTGCAAATGCGATGGAAAGTATGTTTATATACCAGTCTCAGCTGTACTAAAGAAGGCTTCGCTTTCATTCCAGTGCTCCACTAGTCATAGTCCCCCCCCCGCTCCAACCGGTTAAACAGTAGCCTAGTCCCCCATTTACAAGGGTCTTGGGCAATTTTTCTTTATGTTTTGGCTGTAAAACAAGCAACCAGCAAAAGAATACAACAATCCGAACAAGTTCCCCGATATTGTACAGATGTTGCCCTTTGCTACAAAAAAAAACAGGCTGAGGGGGCCACACACGAAGAGGTCTTGGGCTTAAAAGCAAAAAGAAATTAGAGAAACTCCGTAAAGGGAAATAGTTGGAAACTTTCAATGCATTCATGACTTTTACAATTTGTGGCTAATTGTCGGATAAAGCCCAATATCGGAAAGAGTTCGACTGTGGGTGTGGCTGGATAATCATCCAGCCCCCAATCCAGAAGCCACAGAAATTTACATAAATTTCTGTTGGATTGGCACACCTTACACGCGGACCGGACCGGACCCGAGCGGACCGGACCTTATTCGTTCGTTGAATGTCTTCATTTCGAGTTAATTTCCACTGTTTCTTTGACTTTTGGCTTTGACCGTGGGTGTCTCTCTCACACCAAAATGATATTTATGTGCGACAGTGAAAGCCATAGAAATATGACCGAGCATATAAATCAACCCAACCAGAATGCCCCTTGAGACGCTCCCCTTTTTTCGGTTGCTCGTTGTCGTGGCTATTGTTGGCTGCCCAAAAGGATTAAATGCTCATAAATGGCACCCGAGACGCGTGTGGTCTTTTATGTTATGTGCAGAGGGGCTGCACACTCTCCCCATACAATACTCGTATATGAAACCAGAGAGTGGCTTATGAAAACTTGTTTCATTTATGTACGATACGTACAGCAAGTTCAAACGTAATTCCAATGAAATAAACTGAATAAAGAGCTCAAGGAACACTTTTCACAGATCTTTTTTACAGTGATCTTTCATTGGGTTCTTCAGGAAACGCATCAAATACTTGGCTACAATCCTTAGTGATTGATTTGTGAATGATGCTCTCAATACTCTTCTTCCGCAAATAAAATGTCACTTCAGTCGTGGCGAATGGGCATGTGTCTGTTCGCTTATGAGAAATTTGTATCATTTGAAGGGGTTCCACCCTCCAGCCTCTTATCATGCAAACCTGTCTAACAAACGTTAGCCAGCGCTTGAAAACAACCTCCTCAACGAATATAACCCATTTATCTTATAAATATTTACCCCACTGATCTTGGACTCATCGTTTCGGAATGAAAACCTGTCTAAAAAACTTCAGCTAACGCTTCAGTACAGATTGGCATTAAACAACCTTCTCAGCGAAAATATAGCATATGTATATGTATGTAGCTTATAAATATTTACCCTCCACTGATCTCAGAGAATTCCAACTAATTCACGAGACACCATGGGTATAGAATAGGTATGACAAATTCTAATATACTCGAGGAATTTGTATTGCCATTTAGCACATTGGAAACACAGAGGAAACCACAAAAGGCCATTAAAATAATTTGAATAAATCAATGCGGGGAAGAAAAAATTAATGTTTCGCCACTGCAAGCCCCTCAGCAATGAATACGGCGCAAAGACGATTCCGATTCCGAATCCGATTCCCTCTAATAGAATATTTCATTTACACGACAAGCACACAGATCCGATCGGAATCAATGGAAACAAATGAATGAGGCGGCTTCGAACCGGAGGTGAGGATAATTTATTAATGTGATTAGCATTGGCATTGTCTTGTCTGGGCTTTGGATCTACTAGTGGGTATCCATTGTATGGCGCAGAGACTAGCCTCACAATATTGAAGGTGTGAAGAGGCACAAACAGAGAATACAGAAATATGGAATATGGAATATGGAATATCTATTATAGCGTAGAAACCCCTGTGTTAGTAGATAAATCAAACATCGACGAGCCTCAGAGAAGTAGGCTAATTCTGGTCTTCAATAAATACCTTTTCTCATTCAACTACAAACATTTCGTTTAGCTACAAGCCCTGAAATTTTCAGACCACAAAAATTATGCCCGTTGAAGATATTTTCCCGTACCTACCCCAAGACGTCGTCGACTATCTGTTGGACCAAAAGAACCAAGAGCGCCTGCTGAACGAGGGAAAGAAAAAGCTGAAGGAAGCGATGCTGAAGATCGAGGATCAGCTCAAGCTCCTCGACGGTCGCCAGGACGATCAGATCTGCACGATATCCTGGGGCAATATCTATCAAAAGAGCACCGTTAATAACGTGCGCCACGCCCTTGTGGGTCGCCTCTCCAAGTCCATGGATGCGTACCTCAAGTCCAATCGGAAGCTGTTGCGTCTGCACCGTCAAATGTACAAGGACACGGCGATTGTTTTCCACAAATGGGGAAACACAGCCAGCGTCCCCAGACTTGCTGATGAGGAGGTCTAGCAAAACTTAGACAATTCAAAATTGATAGAAATTAATAGGAAACATATACCACAGACATCTTTCGGAACTGCTATTGAATAATAAACAAGAAACTGGATATAATAATTAATTCTTTTGTTCTCTCGAATGACATTGATTCTCTGTGCAAATTTCCCATAGACGAACGGCAATTAAACGGAAAATTGCCTGTCACGCGTGAATGTGCTGCCAAGGGAATGCCACAAATGACCACTACTAAATACTACATAACTTCTGAGCATGCCTTTCCCATGGGAGTCGGGTTTGGCCCAGTCACTGATCGAGTTGATAATGCTGACAACGCCAAAAGACAATGGTAGTCAAATGGGCGTCGGTCGTCCTCCGCTTGAGCGACAACATGGATCATTAAAAGCATTAGTGTCAAGCAGAAGTCACAGTCCCAGTCCCAGCCCCAGCCCCGCAGGTCCCCCAGCCCCCAGCCAGAGAGCCACAAAGTTTCAGATGAATTTTCTGTGTAAGCAGAGGCGGAGCGTTGGATCGGTGGATCGGTGGAGTGGAGGGGAAGCAGCGCTACCTTGTCATAATTAAATGTGTAATATTTGTCTTGGCTTTCGACACCTTTCCTGCTTCCACCGAAACCCTGATCTGCGCTCGTCTCCCTCCCTTCACCCTCCTCCGCATCAGCTGCTCAACGAACCCTACGCTTAAACGACAGATATTACGACTTTGGTTACACTCGAATGAAATTATGTATGTTTGGTAGATACTTTTTAGGTATATGAATCTTCAAAAGTGGAGGCTACGCTTTTTTCTAATGCATTGTCTTTTTTTGTGTTAGATCTTAAGTCCTCGCCATCTGTGGATACATATGTATATTGCCTTACTCTGAATACAGGGTATCAAAACATCCCACAGAGTGAAATTACGGATGGGGTGGGGGTGGGGGAGGGGGGTTGCTGTAAATTGGATAAAAACATGGGTCTTTCATCAGTTTTCCAAAACTCCATTTCGTTCCATAAGCTGGGGCCTGGAACTGGTTCCGCTTTAACCGTTTCAAAAGCGAATAGTGCGTCGGGTCTTTCTTATTTTCCTGAATCTTCCATTGTTGCTGTTGTGGCCGTGGCGGAGGCATTATTCAGCTTTCTTTTGTTTGACTTGCATTCCGCTTTGCTCTGTAATTCGTTGCTTTTGCATTGGATTGTGCTGCTGCTGCTGCTGCTGTTGTTGTTGTTGTTGTTGTTTTTGTTGTTGTTGTCCCGATGCTGTGCTGTTGTTTGTGTGATGGCACGTGCGTTATACAGAGATACATAGATGCCCACGAGGAAATTTACTGCGCGCTCGCTTTGATTTTGGGGGGCTTTGGGCGAAAGGGGATTCCACGGTTATATGGCGACTGAGCACTTATGGAGACTGAAAGTGGGAGGCAGCACTTTTAGGCCAATTAAAGGAATTATTAAAGAAAAAAACCTGTACTGTAATATTATTATTTTTACTATTATTATTATTATTATTATTAGTATTATTATTAGTATTATTATTATTGTTATTATTATTATTATTATTATTATTATTATTATTTTTTAATATTATTATTATTATTATTATTATTATTATTATTGAATAATTATGGTATATATTGTTATCATTTTTTTAAGCAAAGATTCAAATATAAATCGCCTGCAGTTCGAACCCTTGAAATCTTCAAAAAACTCTTTATTTTGCTACCTCCCCAGCGGTCATCAAATTTCCCATTGGGTCTCTCATTTCGTATGCCCATTGTTGGTGGCTTGGGTGGGGGCTTTGTACTCTTTTGAGCCGCTGTGTTTCCCCTCTTATTTAATAATCCATCAATTTAAGTTACGAAAAATGAAGTAATTTCGGCTCGACTGTTGATTTGTTTGGCATTTAGTGGCGGTGGCAGTGGCAGTGGCGACCCCTTCGCGACTCGTGCTCAATGTTGTTAACAAGTCTGATTAATGTCCCCGATTAGCATAGGCAAACATTAGGCAAATTATGTATGGAGTACACGGGCACGGATACGGGTACGATTTCGTGATTCAATATTGGATTTTCTTGATTTTATTTCCATTATTTTACTTTGCTTTTTTCGCTAATCAGTAAACAGCCAAAACATACTCAAAGCCAGCCCCAAAGTCAAACGAGTGCTGGAAAATCTCCAACCAACAAAAAAAAAAACAACAACGCCAACAACTGTGAGCTGTAAGGCAACCTTTAACGTTAATTAAAAGTGTACACAAAATTTGCATTCACGACAAAATTGCCTACCAAAATATATTGAAAAAAAACAAAAAAATAAAAAATGAGTGTGGTGTGTGGTGTGTGGTGTGTGGAGTGTGGAGTTGCTACCCGTATAGACCGCGTTTTTTGATTGAGTTTGTCGGCGAATTTATGTGCTGACCGCTGCTGGCGGCGATTTGGCGTGTCTCGGCTGGCTGTCAGCCGTGATAAATGCCTGTGGAAAACCGTATTCTCCGCATAACCGATTCGGATGTAATTGGGAAAAATCTCTGTAATTATTTGGACATTCGTGTCCAGGCAGGCAGCCGGGCAGCGGCAGGTGAATGGCATAGTCCGCCTTCCATAAAAAAATAAACTTATAATTGTTCTGCCATTTCCCATGATGATTGGAGTCTTGGAATGGCAATCGAATAGCATCTGGTAAACGATTAACATCTAATTTGGGCAATACTGAAGCCCCCCCACACACACACACACAGACGCACACAAGTCAAGTTCAATGGCAAACGGTAGGTGGCTCCTAGACATTAGTTATGCTGTCACTCACCTTTCTCTATCGATCCATTAATTAGTAAAAAACCAACGAATTTTGGAGTTGCTTGGCGGTGGCTTGGAATTCCCCCGCTCCGAATAACGTAGCTGAAAAACAAAATGTAAATCAGATTGATTAATGGCATTTAGCAAATGATCGCTGGTGGGGCATTGGGGGAATTGATATATTCGATTTGGCATCATTCAAAATCCATAGAAAATCGAACGCAACTCCAAAACAAGAGAACAATAAATGGACGTTACTTCGCCCATCCCAAGCCATCCCATCCCTCATGGCAGGCAGGCAGGCAGCCAGGCAGCCAGTCCATGGGCCATGAAGGCGGGCACGTTCTGCTCGTGCGACACTTGCCCAAGCGCCCCCATAGTATTGTACATATGTATATCTATTATGCATACATATATGCATGTGTTGTAGGCACGAACGATCCGATGATCCCACTCACATTATAATGATTGCCATGATACCGCAGAGGTGGCATTTTGATATGCGATGTGCTTGTGCTTGTGCTGCCAACGCCAATGACGCCCCCATCCTTTTGGGCTCTTCAGCGTGGCCTAATCTTTATGGCTCTTTGGCTTAGCTGTTTTTGGATCCACATCGATTCTCATCGGTGACGTTTCTGCTGTGAAGCGTGCGTCTAAGCTCATTAATAAAACCACTACGGCCCGATCCTATCCCACAGCCCCCTGGATACCCTGGATACTGTGGGCTCAATGGAGGAACATCGAGGAATCGCATTGCCAGGAAGAAACCATATTGCTTTCATACAGATACCCAGATACCATACGGTTGCGGTCCAGTGGAACCCAAATCACTCCCATTGTACCATATACGAGTAGAGTACATCGTGTGGCAGAGAGTGCCGCCCGCACAGACCCCAGCCCCAGCCCCAGCCCCAGACCCGTCCCAACCCAACCGCAGGCCATGGAGTGTACGCTCTCCGTCTTGCGTTGGTGTTGCAGTTCGGATTTGGGTTTGAGGATTGACTCTTGAAGCTGAAGCTGAAGCTGAAGTTGGAGGTGCAGTTGCAGTTGCAGTTGCAGCTTCATTGCTGTTGCTGTTGGTGTTGGCCGGGCCAGCGATTTTAAACGGATTTATGCAGCGAACGCCGCTAGCTTCAAGCTTTTTTCGGTACAAATTTCCTAAAGGGTTTCGTTTTTTGTTTCTGGCGTTGCACGGCGTTGCGTGGGCCATCGTCAGGCAGCAGGCAGCGTGTTGTTTTGGTTTTTTGGTTTTTTTTTTTCTCCATTTCGATTTCGATGCGATGCGAGCGCCGGCTGCTGGGACCATAAATTTGTTGTTTGGGGATTTTTGTTTTTTTTTTTTTCGTTTTTTTTGGTGGTTGGGTTTTGTGGCTTGCTGGCTGGCTGCCGTGAAAGTTGCGTAAATCAGCGTGAAGTAGAAGAAAAGTTCAATAGTATTGAAAATAATTGTAGAAAGTTATCGGACAGATGGCAAGACAGGTATAGGTATGGGCATAGGTATCTATAGGCTGGAAGGAAGGCGTGTTCCAGCCTCAAACCTCAAACCTCAATCGTCAATCGATTGGACCGTAATTGACTTTCGTTTGTCTCGAGAGATACTCTTGCATTTGCTTAGAGCTTACATAAACCAATTGAGATTTGATATCTGAGGCCCAACAGCACAAAGATACTTTGTATCTTTTGTTCTTTATTGTTCGGCCTGGCTTTGAGTGGAGTGAAATCTAATTCAATACCTCGTTTACCTCCATCCCCCCCCTGCTCCTACGCCGTCAGCAGATATGTTAATAACTAAACTCTTGTGCCACGGCAATTAGTTTCGATGCATATCAGATCAGATCTAGAATTTTTACACGGAGGCAGGCAGGCTCCAGTGGCGCCATGTCAACCGGGAATCAAATCGTTTAACATATGCTTATATATGGTTATGCAATCAGCAGCAGGTTTATAAATTCTGAAACTTAATGGCTCGAAGACAGATATGATAATCTTTTGTGTTGTCTCAATCCGACTTTGTCTGGAGTTGCTTCGATTCGATCTCGCATGTATCCCTTCGCTTATGGGAAACTTGTGCAAGCAGAACGCCACTTTCCCAAGCCAAACACTGACGGGATTTCTTCAAGTGAATTATTTAGTCGGTTTTATCGGGTCACATGATGAAGGGTTTCCCCCAAGCGAAACTCATTTATAAAACTCAACTCTACAGTGACTGCCATTAAGCTCTCCATTAGCGTAATACATCAGCTGTCAGCGGACTGTAATTTTGATCAGAAATGAATGTAGGACAGCGGCGAAAGAGTCCGCCACGATAAAGTAATT